AATGATTATCCTAATTATATTTTAGATTTTTTATATTTAAAATGAGATATTTATCTTGTATTTGATTATGTTTATTTGCAGTTAGTTACACAAATTCAAATATGAAGTTTTAATAAGTTGTACTTACGCACAATCTACTAATAATTTTGAGTTTTAAGTAATATACATTAATAAACAGTACTTTACATATAAAAAATGATTTTTAAAAGTTTTTATCAAATTTTTTATAATATAATATAGATGATTAATTCTTCGAAATCTCATGAAATATCAAATAATCTGGGCCAAATTATCTTTTGCTTTGGAATTTGGATAAGGGTATTTATGGGCCACATTGTCCTCTGGAACTTTGTCAGTCTCTTTATAAAAGCTCTGGATAGGCTCTTTATGTTGGGTCCAATATCTACTAGTTTTCATGAAATCTTGATATTCAAAATTAAATTTAAACATCAAATAAAATTTTAGATTAAATTACATTTTTCGTTCATATGGTTTGTTAAATATTACGATTTTTATTTTTATGGTTTAGAAATTGCAGTTTTCATTCTTATGGTTAGTAATTTATTGCTATTTGAACTAATTCTTACTTTTTTAAGTATAAGAGACCAAAACAGTAAAGAACTTTAAACCACAATAACTGAAGCAACAATAAATTATAAATCATAAAAACGAAAATATCAATAATTTACAAACTATAGGGATGAAAATTGTAATACCTAAACCACAAGGACGAAAATCGTAATTTTTAACAAACAACATGGACGAAAAACGTAATTTACTCAAAATTTTAATTCTCGACCATCACTTTCATCACCGTAACGAAAAGCATATCAGATTAGGTCATTAGGGTGTTTGGATTTGCATTTTAATTTAATTATTTTAATTCTAGACAATTACAAAATAAAGTTATGGTCAGATGAATCAAAACTATTTACCTTGAGACTCAACAGATTTATTAGGTTACGATGTGTTAAACTTGTTAGAAATAAGGGTTTCGTGAAACAATCAAACCTTGGATCACGTACAACAACATTTTTCGAATGCATTCCGAACCACAAAAGTGTCTAAGGTTTCATGAAATCTGTATTTGGATAATCCAAATCAACACTTTATATTTAGACAAAAATCAAGAGTAAAAACACAGTAATTGGGTTATTTTAATCATGTTTAAATTCTTTAAGCACGTATAAATTAAAATCCATTTTTTAATGTCAAAATACAGTTCATGTTCTTTTTTTGTATAAAGTCTGTACAAAATAATAACTTATATTATTTAAAAAAAAAAAAATTATAGAAAACTATGGGATTCTAATAAAGAATTTTAAGATTAATTGGTGATAACCACTTGAAAAAAGTCTATTACTACTCAATAATACTTTTTAGGTAAGAAAATATGGTTGACATCTTATTAAAAATATAAGAAATAGAAAATAAAATAATTGTTTTTTTCTAAAAAAAAATATAAGATTCATCAACATATTTTATTTTTTAACAATAATTTAATTCCGGATAAAAAGAATATTCGTTTGGTTTTGTATTATCGTAAATATTATTAAATAATTTATTTCTTCATTTTTATGTCCAAATTTTTTAGAGTAGATTTCAATTTAGGTCATTCAGAAAAGTTTGAAATCGAGACCTGAACTTCGATGAGTTTAAATATCATCTTTGTGATTTTTATTTTGCTCTAAAAATGGTCTCGTAATTATTATCTCTGTTTATTTATTCTATTAAAACGAGGAGTATTTTTGTTTTTTTTTGTTAAATTTTTAATTTTCTATGAATGGGATAATTTTGATAAAGTCAAAAAGGATAATTTTCCTTAGTTGACAACTATTTTTTTTTTTCTGTGGACTACAGTTTTTATATTAAAATGTTATGTAGTTCAATTATATATATGATCTGAAAAATTGAAAGAACGGGTCATGTATCGGTGGTTATCTTCAAATTAAATTTCTGTGTATTTTATTTGGTACACATTTTTCAATTTTCAAATTAAATTCCATCAAGTCGTATCTAACAACAAGATATAATTGAAACTAACTAATCATTTCTTTCAAAAGGTCAACTACCATTATTTCCGTTCAAAAGTCTAAACCAAATTATATGTTTTAAAGATGATCGTAAAAATCCATCTTGTTAATGACAACTGTACTTGAAACCCTCTTAACGTTCTATAAGAAAGAATGTATGTGTATATGTGTTTTACTGCAAGAGAATTTAATGTATTTACGTATACGGATTTGAAATCGCCTGGAATCTTAGCCTAATTTCATGACTAGGGTTACGTACTTACGTTACTATTCAGGGGATAGGGTATGGGTTTTTGTTTATGACGTAATTCCAGTATCAAGATTACAATCAACTAATTATATCTGATTAAAAATCTAAAAAGAAAAAAAAAACAGGGTTCGAAAAATGGGATTTTGTTGGGGTCACGTTTTTTCTTTGGGTTGATAAACGCGTATACGTGGTGGCTGCCACTCCCATGGTTGAAGGCAATAAGCAACCCACAGTTGCAAATGAACAAGTCAATGTTCATGAAAAAAGCCTTATCACCCCAATATTTATATTTTATCAAAATTAATTAATATAATCTTTTAACTAAGTAAATAGTATTAACTTTATAAATTCATCTGAGCCGTTCATTATTTTGATCAGTGGTTATGATTAAATGAGAGGTTATAAAATAATGAAAAATTAAAGCAATTGAATGAAAGACAATGTTGGAATAAACTATTTTATTTTTTTTTGAAAGATAATTGTGTTTTATTTTGGAATATGATCATTTGTTATATGGTGTTTGCTTAAAGTTTGTATTGTTTTTTCCATTTATGAACTTCGATTGGTTCGATTTTCTTTATCGAAGTTCACAGGTGAAACTAGAAAATGAATAAGGTAATCAAAGAAGTTTAAACAATGAGAATGAAAGTTATCATGAGAAAGGATCTCACTCTTCGGTCAATCCCAATTGAAGATCAACAATAATGAGATGCAATAGATCAATTCTCGTATCAAACGTACTTCGTGGGTTGAGGGTAAGATTAAAAGTGATCAATGATCCAGATCCCTACTTACGCTTCCCACTTTAACTCATATTCTCACACAATCATTCGTCTCTCTCTCTCTATATATATATATATATATATATGTGTGTGTGTGTGTGAAAGAGAAAGAGAGAGAGGGGTTTCAGATACAAACCATGTCATTGTAAGATCCCACATCAGTTGGGAAAAGAAGCTAAGGACAAAAGGTATCACAGTCAGGTTCCAGACTGGTGTGCCAGCGAGGAACCGGACTCCCAAGGGGAGTGGATTATAAGATTCCATATCGGTTGGAAAGGTTGCCTTATAAACGACTAAATACCTCCTCTATCAAACTCTTCTAAAAACTGAGTCCCATGTGAGTCCCATGTATATGCATACATATGTATGGTCATCTAGATGTTATGCACATATGCATACATGTAATTGAAGATGTTCTTGGTTTTTATGTACACACCAGACAAATTGCTTACAAGTTACTTGTATAAACAAATACATACAATCCAAATGAATGAATGGCTACCTGAATGTTCTTCAGTTTTTTATTTTGTTAAGTTTTTTTTTCTTCATAGACCTCTCCTCCCTCTATGTATATAAAAGTATTAAACTGGAACCTACCTAAAATATCCCCCGAATGTAACAAATCCTTTCAATCTTTAAAAACATATAAACAATTACTACACATTCCCCAAGCCTTTAAAATATATAAAAACACAACTACTATAAGGAATAGCTGGCAATTATGGTTTCTTTAAAGACATGCGTGGATCATTCATCATCTCCTTTCTTAGATATGCTTCAAAATATTCTTTCTTATACTAAATAATTACAACATATATAGTATTTCTCTTGTCTAATTAATATAAATAGTTAATAATTAATCAGACGCTTAATCCTCATACATATAACTGATTAATTGACAAATGGATGATTGTTAAAAGGTGAATCTTGTTTGATAAAAAAAATCTGTTTTTTAATGGTTCTAAAACCCTCTAAATAATTTTGTATATTAGACCTATGTTAATCATTCAACACCCTATTTTTATTCTAAACAATTACCAAACAATCATATTTCATTTTGTATTATATGGGGAATCTCATTGCCATTACTCAAACAAGCATGAAATGTCATGGTATCCACTTTTGTGTACTAGCTAAAGTGTTACGTATGTCAAATTGTGTGCTAACTCCCATTTCTTATTGAATTAAAGAAAAAATATTTAATTAGTAGTTATATCATAAAAACTTTTTAATCATTATGATCATTTAATTATTCTGTATCAAACCATTTAACAACTGTCAAACATTTCCTAAGTTTTTAGAACGTTTTAGAAATAAAGTGTCGTATTAGCAATTATATATACCATTTAAAAAAGTGTCATATAAACATATGATGAAATTTCTCAAACATATCATATAAAATAGTTAATATAACATTTTAATTTTAAAAACGTTCGAAAAACTTATTAAACGCTTAATAACGTCATATAAATTTATCGTAATATTTTTATATAATACATTTTATTACTTGATACTATAAAGTTAATAACTATAAAGACTTTAGTATGACACTTAGGGCCGTTAACTAAACACTTATTTGATAAGTGTTTACCAAATAAATTTTCTTATCAGATGAACATGAGAAGGACCAAAAATCTTACCGGGTAAGAGCAATGAAAAGGATAAAGAGTCTTACATGGTAAGTAAGGATGACGACTCTTTCCCAGGTAAACATTTACCCAGTAACTTGTTGTATTCGATATGTTTTGATGTATTAAAATCTTACGTATCCAAATAAACTATAACATTGAATCCTATCAATAAACACTTACCGGATAAACATTCAGATAAACGATCTCTTAATTAAGGTCTTATTTCTATAAAGCCAATTTATTTTACATGATATAATTAATAACTAGTTTTTAAAAGTTATACTAACATCCACATCTAGTTTATGACAGAATCTTCCTTCCTAAACATCCACACCTAGTTTGGAATTGTCAAATGTCAACTTTTGAATACATCTACATTAAAACCTTGTGTGTGTATATATATATATATATATAGTCTCATGTTATAGCAATATCTCACAAACTCACCAACACAAATCAAAACTGATCATCCATGGCGATGAAGCTACCCTTCTTCATACTCCTCCTAATATCCATTTCTGCATCCTTTTCCTCAGCCTTACCCAACGACATCAACTGGTGGTGCAATAGAACTCCGAACCCGGAGCCATGCAAGCATTTCATGAGCAGTAAAACCCACAAATTCGGTTCCATTTTGGGCAAGTCTGATTTTCGGAAAGTGGCTTTGCAATTAGCCATGGAAAGGGCTCTGAATGCAGAGACTCACACCAAATGGCTCGGCCAGAAGTGTCGTAACGAGCGAGAAAGGGTTGCATGGGCTGACTGTCTGACCCTCTACGAAAGCACCATCTTGCATCTAAACCATACCCTAGACCCAACCACCAAGTGCACCGATTTCGATGCACAGACGTGGCTCAGCGCCGCCTTGACTAACCTCGAGACTTGTCGAGCTGGGTTCGTGGAGCTTAATGCTTCAGACTACATGTTGCCTCTAATGTCTAATAATGTCACCAAGCTTATTAGCAATACTTTGGCTATCAACAATGGGTCTACGAGTTTGAAACAGGCTTATAAAGATGGGTTTCCGACTTGGGTTAAGCCCGGCGATAGAAAGCTTTTGCAGACGACGGTTAGGGCGAACCTTGTGGTGGCTCAGGATGGGTCTGGTGATCATAGGACGATCAAGGCTGCCGTTGATGCGGCGGCGAAGAGAAGTGGGAGTGGGAGGTTTGTAATTTATATAAAGCGTGGTGTTTATAGAGAGAATATAGAGATTGGGAACAAAATGAAGAATATAATGCTGGTCGGAGATGGAATGAAGTACACCATCATCACCGGCAGCCGTAGTGTTGGAGGAGGCTCCACCACCTTTGATTCCGGCACCGTTAGTAAGTATTCTCCCTCTTGAAAATTGACAAAAATAACCAATAAGCAAATAGGGTTTTGTTATAAGCTAAAAGGGTGTTTGGGATTGCTTATTTGAAACAACTTATGTTTTTCTATAAAAACACTTATCAACTTATTATAAGTTGTTTATCCGAACACTCAAAAGTGTTTATTAGCGATGTCACACCGGAATCAATCAATAACTTATTTTTATAAGCAATTCCAACCACCTCTAATTGTTACCTAGAAGGTGGATTTGGGTAACGATTCTTGTTTATTTATTTATTTTTATTTTTTTTGCCAAAAACCAATCATTATCCATATACATAAGATTTCTACTTAAAAGCTAAAAAATTGAATATTCATGAACTCATGGAATGTTTTATTTACTTGTACAACAGTTGTAACGGGATCTGGATTCATTGCCCGTGGCATAACATTCCGCAACACCGCCGGCCCTCAGAACCACCAAGCGGTGGCGCTACGGTCAAGCTCCGACTTATCGGTCTTCTACCGATGTGGCTTCGAAGGATACCAAGACACTCTCTACGTTCACTCCCAACGCCAATTCTACAAAGAATGCTACATCTACGGCACTGTCGACTTCATCTTTGGCAACGCCGCGGTGGTTTTCCAAAACTGCATGATCTATGGAAGACGACCCATGGCTTCACAAAAGATCACCATCACAGCCCAAGGCCGAACCGATCCCAACCAGAACACGGGGATCTCGATTCAAAATTCTCGAATCATGGCTGCATCTGACCTAAGACCGGTGTTGAGCTCATTCAGAGCATTCTTGGGCCGGCCATGGAAGCAGTATTCTCGAACGGTTTATTTGAAAAACTATCTGGATAGTTTGGTAGACCCGGTCGGATGGTTAGAATGGGATGGGAATTTTGCTCTTAAGACTTTGTATTATGGAGAATATAGGAATACTGGACCGGGTTCTTCAACCAGCCGGCGAGTGAAGTGGGGTGGTTATCGGGTTATCACCAATTCCAATGAGGCTTCTAGGTTCACGGTGGCGAATTTCATCGCCGGCCGGTCGTGGTTGCCCGGCACCGGTGTGCCATTTACCGCTGGCCTTTAAAGTTTCTAATTTGTGTATTTCTTTTTCCTTTATTTTACTGTATTTTTTGTTATATTTTCTTTGATTCAATTAATAAGAGTTGACTCGGAATAATTTTTTGAATTTAAGGATCATTTTTCATGTATTCATCCTTTTCTTCAACCTCTTTCTTGTATTTTAAGACACGTTTTTAATGTTCATATTAGTGACCGAAACTATCAAATGCCATGTCCGAAAACATGTCACAATTTGGCAGCCGAACATCGCAACTCCTCCGAGACCTTCTCGAAAGACCAGCTTCAATTCTGAACGTGATAGTGACAACTGACAACCATCATCAACCATGGATAATGAAAACTTCGTCCTGAAACAGACCAAGAGGATCGAGGCCATGACACCACCCGGTACAAAAAGGGCTTGTGGTGCAACTGCGTAACCGACTGTGACCAATGCTATTTCTTACCTCAACTTCATCTTAAATAAATAAAGCTGAAAACGTAGTGTATTTTCTTACTCGATGCATTGATATTTACGGCACCATCGACTTCATCTTTGGCAATGGCGTGGTTTCCCAAAACTACATGGTGACTGGTCCATCAATGAGATTAAGTCAAATCAGAGTTTTATTTATTTTAAATTTATTTAATTCATTTTCACATTCTCTTTCTAATCATGTGTATTGATGTGATTGATGGACATAAATAAAACATGAAACTTTGGGACGTAATTTTTATCTGAGTGAAATGGGGTGGGTATCGTCGTATCATGTCATGACCAACTCCAACGAGGCTTCTAAGTTTACGGTGGCAAATTTTCATCGTCAGCCAGTCATGGTTGCCCGGCATTGATGTGTCATTTAGTGTTGGACTTCAAATAATAAGTAATAAAAGTATACTCAAATAATAATTTAGGTGTGGCAAAAAATGATTTAACCCGAATCCAACCCAAAATTAGCAGGTTGGGTTGAGATTTTCAACCAATTTAAATAAATGGGTCAATCTGTCCAACCCATTTAAATAAATGGGTTGGATTTGGTTGGATTTTTCGACCTGTTTTCAACCTAGGGGTGAACAAAAAACCGTGAACCCGCGAAACCCGCCCAACCCAACCCGCTAACAACCCAATTAAACCCAACCCGTCTACCCGCCAAACCGCTCACCCGCCAAACCGCTAACCCGCTAATTAGGAGGGTTGAAATTGGCTCAACCCGCCCAACCCGTCAACCCGCCGCTAATATATAATTTTTATAAAATTATATATATATATATATATATATATATATATATTAATGATGTATAAATTTTATATAATTTTTATTGATATTATATTTTGTTTCATTTTAACTAAACGTATAGGTTACCAAAAGAGATTCACGATCAAAGAATGATGACAAATAATCTAATTAATAAGGAAAATTATTGATTTTTTTTTGCAGCAACAACAATTTGATATGTTGGAAAATATGAATGATATTGATAGATATTTGATGGACGAATCCATCAATCTATGACGCTTTTAAAGAGTTACATTAGAAAAATGTCTTGTCTAAAAGAGTTCCAATATTTTTATAGGAYGATTTTGGACGTCTTAACAAATTCTATGATGTTTTTAAAAAAAAGTATCGTATTAGTTATATTATACAACACGACTTGAAAAAATGTCATATGAGCATAGATGTCCTATAAATAGATGAGTTTACGGGACACTTCTCAAAATATTTCTATAAAATAACTAATACGACATTTTATTTAAAGATCATTCTAAAACACTTGTTGAAACATCAAAAACGTCCTAAAAACCTATTGCAACATTTTTAGTAGGACGCTTTATAGTATGGTCTATAAACTTAAGATTTATGAATTATTTCATTCGTCAAATTATGTAACTACTAACCCGCCAACCCAACCCAACCCGCCTCAACCCGCAAGGGTTGGGTTGGGTTGGGTTATACTTTTGAATGGGTTGGTTTGGGTTGAGATTTTCCAAACCGCCATAATTGGGTTGGGTTGTAAAATTGTTGTAAACCGCCCAACCCAACCCGCGTTCACCCCTATTTCAACCCGTTTCAACCCATTTAAAATAATATATAATTTTATTTTATTCTTATTATATCTAGTATTCTAGTTTTTATTTTGTTTTATTCTTGATTAAAAATCCTACCGTCGTGAGATGAAACTCCAAATTTCAATCGCCTCCATTACTCTTAATAATCATGAACCCTAAGAAAACTCTTTAGTCAATTACTTCAAAACATGATGTTATGGAGAGGGAAATTAAACTTTTATTTATTCTCACCGATGAGATTGAATTATTATTAATTTTATAAATTCTTTTTTTTTTAAATGTATTAAAACGATAAATTTATAAGATATTTTAATAATATAATGGTCGTTGAAATGTATGAAATAGATGATTTGTGACTATTAAAGTTAAATATAATTTTCTTGAAGATTTTGAATTTTGATTCTATATTTTAAAGAAATTATAGAAAATCCGTTGAAAAAGTTCTGAACACCGGTTTTTGCATATGAAGCGGTTTGTGAAGATTAGATTGGGTTAATCCTGAGAATAAATTAGTCATAACCTAACAGCATATAGTGGGGGCTAATATTATTCTAAGGATAGTGATCTTAATCACATCCTAATTTGTTTGTCTCTAATTTTATGCAGTATTTTATAACACATGATAGTGCAAGACACGTTCCCACCATTGCGAAATGCCTGATAGCGTTTGTGTAAGGCGTGACTCACGCCATGGTGCGCGTTTTTATAAGATGTGATTTAAAAAAAACACTTTTTTTTATCTTTTGTGTTTTTACATTTTTTTATTTTAGATTTTACACTTTTATAGATATATCTAATCACATCACCCACAGTTTTATGAATTCATAAACGTTACAGACTCACGATTAAAATGAAGTTGTAAAATTACTTTTGTAAGTTCTTTTTTAAATATTTAATAAAAAACTATTTATATAATAATAATCTATATGATTTTTCTTCTTCTAATATAAATGTACATTTTTTAATATTCATTATCTGATTAGATAATATATATAGAGAAAACATATATGTAAATATATAACTTTAAATATGACATACAAAATTTTCACCTTATGTCATGCTTTGAAAAATGTCGCGTCCTCGTCGTGGTGTGTAAGGCTTAACCTCGCCGCCATGCCACATCACACCTCACGTTGTTTTGAACTTTGTCGGCACCCGTTAACTTGTATATACTATCATAATTTTAAAGTACATCAATAACTTTATAGGGGTCATCAAATAAAGGCCATGAAGTTACAAATTGTAAAAAAGGTATGTATATGTTGTGTCATAGATGAAACAATTACATCTAAATATTTAATATTGTTTTATAAATGAAACGTTAAATAATTAATAATTATAAAATCATAACTGTAATAAAACTCAACGAAATACGTGTTCATATATAATCCTTGAAATAAAATGTCAACACATCTTAAATACCCAGTCTAAAATAAACTTAAAGAAGGCGATGCAAATCTGATCGGAAGATGGAAAATGGTCGCAAGGTCACAAGCTCACAACCACAGCGTTAAGCCTATATCACATGTGATTTTAAGAATCACTCAATCAATGCTCTTAGTTTGTTGGGCCAAGCACGTGCCCATGCATTGACCAACCTAAATCACATGTGATTTTTTGTCTAAAATCACATGTGATATAAGCGTTCTTGTATTTTCTTATTTTGATTTTGTTTTTGTATAAAATCACATGTACCCTTACGCTACTCTATTTGTATTTTAATCTATTTTTATTACTAAAACCTAATACAATTTTTATCATTATGTTATTATTAATTTTATACACATTGTTATTTATTATTATTAATTTATCAATACTTTTTTATTTATTACTTTATTATTATTATTATTATTATTTGTTATCATAATGAACAATATTTTCTATATATTTTTGTTATTTTACTACCATTATTCCTTTATTATTTATGTAATTAGAAATGTACTCACGCAGTGCAGCGAGATGTATCTCGATTTTAGTATTTCGTTTTATTTCGTTTCTGTAGATGTTTTAATATGGTTTTTTATGTGGTTTTGAGAAAGGGATAATGTTTTTATTTTTAAATAAAATATAAAATTGAAGATATCATAAAATTTTGAAAATAAATATATCAATATTAATATCAAATTAACTATTTTAAAGTTCTTGTTTTTTGTGTAATTTCTTAATTCAATTTTTTATTATAATTTAATTTAGATTTAATAACAAAGTAATTTATTTTTTGATTTAATGATATGATTTTTTTAAGGATAATGATTAAATATTTTGTTAGAACTCAATAATTATCTTAATTGTATTTTAGATTTTTTATATTTAAAATAAAATGTTTATTTTGTATTTAACTATATTTATCTGCAGTTAATTATACAAATTCAAACATGAAGCTTTAATAAGTTGTACTTACGCACAATTTATTTGTAATACTGAATTTAAGTAATATTTATCAATAAACAGTACTTTATGCATAAAAATGGTTTTTAAAAGTTTTTATTAAAAGTTTTATAATATAATATAGATAATGTTGTTTCTATTTTTTAATTTTAAAATAATACTTTCTTTATAAATATAAATACAAAATAAATAATAGTATAAGGAAAACTTGTCTAAATTCAAAAGTTAAATAAGAAAGGGCTGGCTAAACATACCCTTTCTACTATCTATTTTTTTTATTTTACAATAATACTTTCTTCATAATTTTTAATTTTTAAATTATATTTTATACATTTATAATTATTTATTTAAATTATTTTATATCCCTTCAATTTATCATTTTTTATTTTTTA